AAGTTCTGGGATTAAAGGTGTACACCATCACACTTGGCTCAACTGGTAAATCTAAATAAACATTATGTGTGTGTGTGTGTGTGTGTGTGTGTGTCTATACATGTCTGTGTGTGTGCAGGTGCACATGCACATGTGTGCAGAGATCAGCAACTGTGTCTTTATCAGTTGCTCTGTACCTTATTTTTCTTTAAAGATTTATTAAAAAAAATTTTTTTGTCTTTTTGAGACAGGGTCTCCCTGTAGCCCCAGCTGTCCTGGAATTCACTATGTAGACCAGGCTGGTCTTGAACTCACAAAGATCCGCCTGCCTCTGCCTCCCGAGTGCTGGGATTAAAGGCGTGCGCCACCACACCTGGCTAAAATATTTTTTAAATTTTTACTTATTATTGTTATTTTTTGGTCTTTTTGAGACAGGGTCTCCCTGTAGCCCCAGCTGTCCTGGAACTCACTATGTAGACCAGGCTGGCCTTGAACTCATGGAGATATGCCTGCCTCTGCCTCCCCAGTGCTGGGATTAAAGGCATGCACCACTATGCCCCGCAAAATTTTTACTTATTATTTTTATTTTATGTGTATGAGGGTATTGCCTACATGTATGTAAGGCACCAGTGTCATGCAATGCCCAAGGAGGTCAGAGGGTGTGATGCCCTGGAATTGGAGTTATGGACCGTTCTTAGCTGCCATGTGGGGCCTGGGAATTGAACCCAGGTCATCTGCAAGAGCAGTCAGTGCTCTTTTTTTTCTTCTTCTTCTTTTTTTGGTCTTTTTGAGACCATACCCGACCAGCCAGTGCTCTTAACTGCTAAGCCATCTCTCTAGTCCCCAAAGATTTATTTTTATTTATATGTATGTGTGTCTGTGTGTGTCACATACGTGTATGTGTGTGTGTATAGACACAGTGGTCAGAGAGGGTATCAGATCCTCTGGAGCTGGAGTTACAGGCTATTGTGAGCCACCTGAGGGAGAGGGGATGCTGGAAATAGAACTTAGGTCCTTTGCAAGAGTAGGAAGCATTCTGTTGGGCCTTTCCTTCAGCACCTCAACTTTCTTTCTTTCCTTCCTTCCTTCCTTCCTTCCTTCCTTCCTTCCTTCTTTCTTTCTTTCTTTCTTTCTTTCTTTCTTTCTTTCTTTCTTTCTTCCTTTCTTGTTTTTTTTTGAGACAGAGTCTCTCTGTAGCCCCAGCTGGCCTGGAACTCACTATGTAGATCAGGCTGGCCTTGAACTCACAGAGATCTGCCTGCCTCTGCCTCCCAAGTACTGGGACTAAAGTCGTGTGTCACCATGCCCAGCCTGAACCTTATTGTTTGAGACAGCATCTCCCTTTGAACTTGGAGCTGGTCAATTCAGCTAGACTGGTTGGCCAGCAAGCTGCAGGGATCCTCCTATTACTATCTCCCAGTGCTGGGGTTACTGAGAGGTGTCACCATGCCTGGCTTTTACATGGATGCTGGGAACCAAACTCAGGTCCTTATACTTGTGTGTTAAGCACTTTACCAACTGAGCCATCTCCCCAACTGCTTGTTTTTTGAGACAGGGTCTTATGTAGGTAGCTAAGGTTGGCCTTGAACTCCTGATCTTCCCTGCCTCTTCTTCCTATATGCTGGGATTACAGATGTATACCACCAGCCTGGTTCCAAACAAATATTCTAAAATTAAAAACAAAACCTGAAATCTCAGCCAGACATGGTGGCACATGCCTGTAATTCTAGAATTTAGGGTGTGGAGGCTGAAGGATCAGGAGTTTAAGGCCAGCCTGAGTTACATGAGACCCTGCCACAAATAAACAGAATAACCGTGGCACCAAGTATAAGCCCATGAGTTACAGTGTACATATATACGCATGAAACTTCTTAATATACCTTTTCCCCCTTTTTTTCTCTTTCCCCACTCTATCCTAGAGCACCCCATTCAGGATAGCTTTATATGTCAATGACTGAGAAAAGGGGCAAGGGTGTTGTGGAGAAACCCTAGTAGGAGCCAGATAACCCCGAGGCTTTGTTGTGGTGGTAGTGGTGGTTTGTTTGAAACAAGGTCTGGATATACAGTCCTGTGTGGCCTGGAACTGGCATTGTGGAGTAGGCTAGGTTTGAACTCATGGGTTATCCTCCTGCCTCTGCTTCTTGAGTGCTGGGACCACAGGATTATACACCTTTTTACCTCCATTAACCGATCTGTGTTTTATCTTTCCTCTAGAGCCCTGCCTCCATGGAGTTCGGGCTGCTCAGTGAGGCTGAGACTCGCAGCCCTGCCCTGTCGCTGTCAGACGCAGGCACTCCACACCCTCCGCTCCCAGAACATGGCTGTAAGGGCCAGGAGCACAGTGGTGAGCGCGCCCCCTTCTGGGGGTGGCCGAGAAAACAGTTCCTCCTTGATGGGGGTGGGATCCCGAGTGGCAGCCTGGGTGGGAGGCCAGCGAGAGGTGGAGGAAGTCATTGAGGTCTCAGAGCCATCAAACAGGTCTGAGCGCCCTGTGACCGGCCTCATCCTGGTCCCCCAGACTCGGAGAAGGCCTCGGCCTCACTACCGGGTGGCTCCCCCGAAGACGGCTCGCTGAAAAAGAAGCAGCGGCGGCAGCGCACGCACTTCACCAGCCAGCAGCTGCAGGAGCTGGAGGCCACCTTCCAGAGGAACCGCTACCCTGACATGAGCACGCGCGAAGAGATCGCGGTGTGGACCAATCTCACCGAGGCCCGCGTGCGGGTACGGCCCTGCATGACCCGCACCTCTCCTGCTCGGGCCCTGCATGACCCACATCTCCCCTGCTCTGGCTCTGCCTGACCCGAACCATCCTTACTCCGGCCCTGACTGACCGGCACCTCTCCTGCTCTCTGGCCCTGCATGACCCGCACCTCCTCCGTTCCGGCCTCCTACTTCCCTCCTTCGCGCCGCTCAGCGTCAGTGGTCTGCCCTTCCCGTCGGGCCGGGTCTGCAGCCGGCCGATCTCCACGCTCTGGTCTCTGCATTTCCAACTCCCTGCCACTCCGGACGGCGCTGGACAGACCCAGTCTCTGGTTCCCCTTCTTAGCCCTCTTTGATCCCTTGCTACTGGGTCCTAGACCTGGTGGCTCCGGCTTCTGTTCTCAGGCCCCTGGCTCCATGCGCTCCTCCCCTCCATTCCAGTCTGCTTCCACCTAGTCTGGTTTATCCAACCAGAGCTGGATTCATCCCCAGCCGCGGCACCGACCCCGGCCGGGCTTGCTGACAGCCTTTTTCCCACGCCCGCAGGTATGGTTCAAGAACCGGCGCGCCAAGTGGAGGAAGCGTGAGCGCAGCCAGCAGGCAGAGCTGTGCAAGGGCGGCTTCGCAGCCCCGCTCGGGGGCCTGGTGCCACCCTACGAGGAGGTGTACCCCGGCTACTCGTACGGCAACTGGCCACCCAAGGCTCTCGGCCCGCCGCTGGCCGCCAAGACCTTCCCGTTCGCCTTCAACTCGGTCAACGTGGGGCCTCTGGCTTCGCAGCCTGTCTTCTCGCCACCCAGCTCCATCGCCGCCTCCATGGTGCCCTCGGCCGCCGCTGCCCCGGGCGCCGTACCAGGTCCCGGGGCCTTGCAGGGCCTGGGCGGGGCACCCCCCGGGCTGGCTCCTGCCGCCGTGTCCTCCGGGGCAGTGTCCTGCCCTTACGCCTCGGCAGCCGCGGCCGCCGCTGCAGCCGCCTCCTCCCCCTACGTGTATCGGGACCCATGTAATTCGAGCCTGGCCAGTCTACGACTCAAAGCCAAACAGCACGCCTCTTTCAGCTACCCCGCCGTGCCCGGGCCACCTCCGGCCGCCAACCTCAGTCCGTGCCAGTATGCCGTGGAACGGCCGGTGTGAGCTGCAGGTCTGTGTATCATCCCCGAGGGCGGGGCAATAACTCACAGCCTCCCGGACTGGGGTCGCCTAGACTGGCTTGCCCTCGCCCCAGGGTCTGACGGGGTGCTTGGGCAGCTGGGGGGCAATTGGCTCAGGAGAGGGTCCTCCCCCTCTCAGCCTCGAGGGGTGGACTGGGCCCTAAACAAAGACCATGCCCTTGGGACTAAGGCCAGGAACAGGGACCAGCTCCCGGGGGCCGACTCGCCCGTGGCCCATCCCGCCTTCTCCAGACTTCCCTACCCGGTTTTCAAAGATCAATGAAATAAACATGCGCGGACTGTCAAAGGCCTGATGATTCAGAGTTGCGGTTGAGCCCTGTTTCCCTTCATGCTTCCCCATTGTCTAAACCGACAGATGGATGTACAAGAACGGAGTGAGCGTCCAGGTTTCTAAAGGCTTCAGTCACCCTCCTTTCCTCCAGGATGGGGAAGCCTGGAGTGCGTGGAGCTTGGGAACCAGCTAGTTGGCAGGGATCGTCCTTTGCTGGTGCTGCGACGCCACCTCGTGGTCTCAGGGAGGATAGCTGGTAGGTCTGGTCTTAACTTGCAGGGACCAATTTTGCAATTTAGAAAGCCTATGATTTTTATTTAGCACTTGTTTCACTGTTCCAATGAGGGGTTTCGGCCTCTAACAGCAATAAAATTCTGGTAACAGACATTTATTAAGTGCCTACCAGGCCTAGGATTCTTATTGAGTGTCTGTGTGTGTGCCTCTATCCTTTCACACACCCTCAGGTTTCTCACCCACAGCTCACTCACTGTCAGCAGTCTTCTCCCATCACAAAGTCCCCCTTTTCCTTCCAGGTCCACAAACCCTAAAAATCGTGTTGACCTCTTTAATTTAAAAAATAGAGAAAGAAGAAATCTTTCTAGATATAAATATATGTAACTCCACTTTAGAGACCTCGGTTCTGCCCTCTTCCTAGGGCCTGGTTGGCCTTCACATTAAAGACAGAAACATTAAAGTACCAGACCACAGCCCTATTCCATGGGTGGCATTTCTTGGCAGTCATAGCTTCCTGCCACTTTGGGGCACACATCCCATGGGGGAAACCATACAGAGAAGGCACCCTAATCATTCTCCCATAACTAAGCCCAACCTTTAGTGCTATGGAGGAAAGCCTGAGGCTCCATCTTTCTTTCTAACCCTTACTGGCTCTTGGTCTTAGCTTTGACCTTGGGTCTGAGGTAGGCTTTTTGGAAAAAGTGAGCAAAGAGGATAAAATAGGTCCCATACAGCATAAAGGACCAGAAGAAGTGTCCCGTGGTTGTGTAGCACCCTTTTTCCTTCCTCCAGATGTAATTCAGGATGCCAAAGATGGTCCCCATAACCATCTGCAGGATCTGTAAGCTGGTGATGACCATGGGAAGCATGCTGGGGTGCCTTACTTTGGCAGCTTTCAGAGTGTAGTAGGTATACATGATGGAATGCACACCGAAGTTCATGGTCATAAACCAGCCACCTGAGGGGACTCTGTTCTTGTATCCAAAGCTTGTGAACAGTAGTACTGTGCTATGGTGGTACCAGTGCACAAAGATGAGAGGTCGTTTACGCAGGATGATGAAGGCCGTGTCTCCTGGGAGATGAGGAGTCATAGCTGATATACTACCCACTGCACTGAGTGCTGGGATCACCCACTGCACCAAGTGTGGGAACAGAGCAGGAATTCTCAGGGTGGGGAAGGAGGATGAAATGTGCTGCTATTAGGACCTAGGGATAGGGAAGGATCTCTCCTTGTGATGGGTAAAGGGAGGGCTCTGAGGAGGAATGCAAATCATTGGGCACCAGGGACAAAGCCTCTCCACTCACCGAGTTCAACGATCTTGCTGAGAAGAAAGACACAGGACCAGAATCTAACTATGTTATCCTCTATGTAGCTGGTGAAGCACACAGTTTGCTTGAGACCCATTGTAAATAGCAGGGTCCCCATGTAGCTCCACATCCTCACTGTCCCCAGGATACTGAAATAAGACAGTGCATGAAAATTTAAGAGCCCATTTCCAGAAATGAACCCACTCTAACTTACCTCACTCTCATCCCAACCAATTAAAACTCAAATTCTATCACCTCTTCACCCTTCCAGGGAGATGGGTCACAGCTTGAGATTCGGGGCCAAGCTGGAAGACCCAACCAGTATTCTCCAGGACACAGGAGTTAAGAAAAGGCCAAAGAATGCTGAGAGGTGGTAGTAAAATTTGAGAAGGGGGTTCTTAGATGGGAGTCAGAAATGAGTGGCAACAAGGGGACGAAAACATGGGAAGGAGGGGCAACAGAAATTGTTGGATGGTCTTTGGAGATGAGTTAGGAGCCAAGATTATTTAAGGTTGAAGAAGTTTGTTGGAAGTATAGACTTCAGGAGTACAAGAGGGATGGAGCTGAACTAGCATGTGGCTCACACCTGTGTTCCCAGCACTCTAGTGGCTAAGGCAGGAGGGTCATAGTGAGTTTGAGGTCAGTCTGGACTACATAGTGACTTTTCAGACCAGCCTGGGCCACAAAGTGTGATCCTGTCTAAAAAAGAATATATAACACCCACAGGCACATATGTACGATACACACACACACACACACACACACACACACACACACAGGAATGAAACAGAGACTGCCACTTTGGGTCTAAGGAAGGAAAAAAACAAGGTAATAAGGAATAGAATCAGTGTAGCAGAGGGTTTTAGAAAACCTTAAGGGATAGAATAGAGGCCTAAAGACTAAAGAACACAGCAAGGGGTAGGGTGGAGGAGTATCTTACCTGAAGATTGCAAGGGAGAAGGACCAGAGGATGAGAGGCCCCTGCAAGTTGAAGCCCTTCCGTGCCTTCATGTAGTTTTGGCCCACAATGATGAGCAACAGGTAGATCAGAACTATGAGGAATGATGCTACCCTGGCAGGCAGAAAGCAGAGGGGACAGACTCACTGGTGAGTCCTGCTCAAGAGAAGGTTCATTCATCTCTCCAGGAGCCTGCTCTAGACTGGAGTTATAGTGGTATGACATTTTGGTTTCCTTACTTGTACAGGGGGAAAAATATTCTTCCAGCAATGTTCATGTGTATAAAGCACCCAGCACAGGGCAAGAGCCCTGTGCAAGATTTCTGTGATTAATGCTTTCTCAATGATGTTGGGAGTAGGTGACAATTTTCTGACCCAAGGCAAAGCCCAATCCATCCAGAACTGTGGGGTAAGAAGAATGTAGCAACACCTTATGCCTGGTTGGGTCATAGCAAATTGATTGAACAACACAGTCAACCCACAAGTTGGAGGCACTTTAGGACTAAGCCTTGGGAAAGCTTTGGAAGAGTGCCCTAACTTTGTGGCCATCTCCACAGCAGAGAAAAATGGAACAGTGAGGGAACATGGTGATTGTGTAGGACCAGTGGTCCTGGGCACAAGCCATGTGCAGGGAGGTGTGCTCCATGCTATAAAAGATAGGCCAGTCACCTAATAGTGCTTCATTCAGTGTCATCCCTCGATTGTCACCATACAATTTCTCCTTTGCTTTTGTCTCTTCCCACACCCCTCTCCCCATCTTCTAACTTCTGCATCCTTTCTTCCAGCCCTAATCTCCTTGAGATGCTGGAATACCAGGACCCTGAACCACAACCAGGGGAAAGGGGATGAAGCCAGTACAGGAACACTGGGTACCTCAGTTCTTTAAAGAAAATCATCTCTGTCCCCACTCTCCTCAAAGAAGTTGTCAGGATCTGGTCCTTCCCCCTCACCAAGTCTCACCAGTACTCCTCCAAAAAGGGCCTTAAGTCCCACGACATCTCGAAGTTATAGGGCTGGACCATCTGCAATTTTTCTAGTGAGACATTCATGGCTGTGTCCATTTCGGTATGCAGAGGAGGTTCAGAGCTTGCAGGGTTGGGCAAGAGCCAATGGGGGCCGAAGTTGGAGTGGATCTCAGGACTGGACCCAACTGACTCAGGACAGAAGGAACTTCTGGGCAGGCAGAAGGGAGCCAGGCACCTGCACTTCGGTGACCTGCTATGGTATATAATACCAATTACTAGGGCCCAGGCAGTGCAAGGCCCACTTCCCACCCTCAGCAGTTGTCCAATCTTAGCCAAGATAAGTCCATCCCACCCCTGGTCTGCATCCGCCTCCTTCTCTCTGACTGAACATCCTCAAGGGCACCTCCCCCAGGTGCCTCGAATGCCCCGCCCCAAATCCTCTAGTAGCCCCTCACTCCTCCCATTTTCCTCCTCCCTTATTTCACCAACTACTCTAAGTTGACTCATAACCCCCTTCACTTGGCTTCACAGAACACCCAGGCAAAAACGTCTTCCCCTGGCACTGCCAACTGTAGCCTTTGTCTCAGTTTGCTTTAATCTTCACCTGCTTGGCAGTGAGGAGAAAGTGGAGGTGCTCTTGGTCCCTGGTACCCATCTCCAGAGATTCAGGTGTCAGTTTCCTTGGGAAACTCAAGTCTGGGATAAGGAAGAAGCAAGCTGGGCAATGAAGGGCAGCTCCCACTGGCACTTCCTCCTCCTAGCTTTGGATTTGTGCCTGTGGGTGGAAGGAGATGAATTTAATGAATTTTATAGTTGAGTTGTTGACATTAGAGGAGGCTGGAGCTGAGGCTGATGTGGTTTCTTTATAGCTTCCTGAATTCCTGACCTGACGCCCAGACCTTGGAAGAAAATGGGGTCACCTTCTGTCTCCTAGTCTTCAGGTTTCCAGGAGACTTCCTAGGGTTTGGCTAACCAGTGTGCTTCCATAAGGCCTGCTGTTTTTCATCCCCAGTCTGAACTTGTCTAATCAAATCTGCTTCTTCACCTATGTATCTAGTCCCAATGAACAAAATGCCTAACTTTTAAGACTTTATCTGTCCCTTATATCTCTCTGGGCCTTATGAAAGTGAAGGACTAGAAGGCTTTGAGAACAGTTTGAAAGGAAGTGAAAAGCTGCAAAACAAGTGCTAAGAAAAGAAATATAAAATATTTAAGGAGCTGAAGAGATGGCTCAGTGATGAAGTGCATTTGCTATACAACCATGAGGACCTGAGTTCAGACTCCACATAACAAGCCACTGTGGTGTCCTGCCAGCCTGTAAACCCAGAACTGTGGGGATAGACAGGAGGGTTGCTGGTGCTTGCTGGCTGCCAGCCTAGCCAAAAAATAAGGTGAGTTCCAGATTTAGGGAGAGACCCTGACTGAAAGGAATAAAGCCTGTGCACAGCCCCACACACACACACACTGAAAAAAAAAAAAAAACAGCTTTTAAAAAAAATTTTATGTGTATGAGTGTATTGCCTGCATGTATGTAAGTCTACCCGGGTCATGCAGTGCCTGAGGAGGTCAGAAGAAAGCATCAGATCCCCTGGAAATGGAGTTAGGACAGTTGTTAGCTATGTGGGTGCTGGGAATTGAACCCAGCTTCTCTGCAAGTATGGCCAGTACTTTTAACCTCTGAGCCATCCCTCCAGCACTGAAAAAAAGCAGCTTTAAAATAAATATATTAAGGGGCTGGAGAGATGGCTCAGCAGTTAAGAGCACTGACTGCCCTTGCAGAGGACCCAGGATTGATTCCCAGTACCCACATGGAGGCTACAAACCATCCTTAACTCCAGTTCCAGAGGAATCTTATGCCCTCTTCTGACCTCCACAGCATTGCACGACACTGCATTACATATATGCAGGCAATACACTTGTACGCATAAAATTAAAATAATAAAGTATTTTTTTATCCTTAAATTGGAAAAGTAAATAAAATTCCAAGCCCAATTTATTTATTTTTGTCTTTTTGAGACAGGGTCTCCTTATAGCCCCAGCTGGCCTGGAACTCACTTTGTAGCAGGCTGGCCTCGAACTCACAGAGATCCGCCTGCCTCTGCCTCACAAGTGCTGGGATTAAAGTTGTGCGCCACCACGCCTGGCTAATAAACAAAATATTTTAAAAAATAAATATATTAAATTAATATAAATATATTATTAGTTAAAAAAAATACATTATGTGGCCAGGGATGGTGATTCAGGCCTTTAATCGTGAACTTAGAAAGCAGAGGTAGGCAGATCTCTGTGAGATCAAGGTCAACCTGGTTTATATAGCAAGTTCCAGTCCAGCCAGGGCTACAGGGAGACCCTGTCTCAAAAACAAAGACTATGTGAAGTAAAGCTCAAAGTCTCTGGAGCCAGAAGATCCAGTTGAGAACCCCACTCTAGCCAATGTCTATAGAAATGGAAAGTTCTGTCTCTTCCATCTAAATGATTCAAATGAGCATCTTTGTTTCTATCTTATCACTGCTCACATGGTTAATACAGACACCACTGTAGTCACATTAACTGGTGGTACTTCAGCCTTCATTAATACTTCTTTTTCTTTATTGTTCTGGAATCAGAAAATTAGTTCCCAAACCTGACTGTTCACTAGGTTCCTGAGTCTCAACTCTAGAGATTTTGGCTCCTTAAGTAATCAGACTTTGAAAATCAACACTTTCTATCCAACCATACAGGAGACAGTTCTGTTAACCTACATACATGCAGGCAATACACTCATACACATAAAATAAAAATAATATATATTTTTTAAGACAGCGTCTCCCTGTAGCCCCAGTTGGCCTGGAACTCACTATGTAGACCAGGCTGGCCTTGAACTCACAGAGATCTGCCTGCCTCTGCCTCCCAAGTGCTGGGATTAAAGGCGTGCACCGCCACGCCCAGCATTTTCTTTTCTTTTTTAAAAATACTTTATTATTATTTGTATTTAATATGTGTAAGTGTATTGTCTGCATGTAGGTAAATGCACCCATGTGGTGCTATGCCTGCAGAGGCGAGAGGAGGGCTTCAGATCCCCTTGGAACTGGAGTTATGAACAGTTGTTAGCTGCCATGTGGGTGCTGGGAATCAAACCCATGTCCTCTACAAGAGAAACCAGTGCTCTTAACCGCCGAGCCATCTCTCCAGCGCCCTTGCCTTAGTCCATTTTTGTTTGTTTTGTGGGTTTGTTGTTGTTGTTGTTATTTTTGAGACAGGGTCTCCCTGTAACTCCAGTTAGCCTGGAACTCACTATGTAGAGCAGGTTGGCCTTGATCTTCCAGAGATTCACCTGCCTCTGCCTCCTGAGTGCTAGGATTAAAGGTGTGAGCCATCATGCCCAGTACCTTAGTCTATAGTTTTGCTTCACTATAACAAAATGCCTTACTGTTGCTATAACAAAATGTCTGAGGGTTGGATACTTTAGCTCACATATTTGGAGACAGAAACCTCAAAATTTGGTAGCCACATCTGATGAGCCAATGGCTAGGGCCTTCTGGCTGCTCCATAACATGATGAATTGTATTACATGACACGAATACATCTGAGAGTGATCATCTAGGAAGAGAGGAAGCAACAGAATGAGAAGAGACCAGCCTGACTGTTTTATAACAACCACTCTAGAGGGAATTAACCTGGTCCTGCATTAAAACTACATTAATAATAAGAAGAAACATTATGCCAGGCATGGTGGCACATACCTTTAATCATAATACTCAGGAAGCAGAAGCAGAAGGATCTTTGTGAGTTCAAGGTTAGCCTTGTCTACATAGCAAGTTCCAGGCCAGCCAAGGTTACATAGTGAGATCCTGACTTGAAGGAGGAGGAAGAGGAGGAGGAAGAAGAGAAAGAGGGGGAGGGGATGGGGGAGGAGGAGGATGGGGAGAAGAACAATTATATTAATCCAGTCCAAAGGTGGTGCTCCCATGATCTAATCATGTCCTAAAGCCTCCACCACTTCAATAAAATTACACTGAAGATCAAGCTCCCAGCACATGAACCTATGGAGAACACACTCAACAATATCCAAACCACAGCAACTATCTAGGAGTTAAGAGACTTGAGTTCATGTATCAGTCCCACCATTAAGTAGCCACTGAGTTTAGGCATGTTATCTAACCTCTCTAAGACTCACATTCTTCAAAAGCAAAATGAAAAGAGTTTCACTTGTTTGCCAAACAAGATTGGGATTATACTAGTCAGATAATGTCAATGACAGGATGCTGTAGCCTATACACATGGAACTATCCAGGTGAATTGTTACATGAGGTTTATAGACAATATGTACTCAAGTCTTAGATCTCTCTCATGTAAAAATATTTTACATTGCTTTTCCCCATTAAGTTTAATGTTGGGGCTTCAGGGAAATATGTTTATAAGAGGGAAGGAAGAGGCTGGGCATGGTGGTGCACACTTAATCCCATCACTCGGGAGGCAGAGACAGGCAGCTCTCTGTGAGATCAAGGCCAGCCTGGTGTACATAGTGAGTTCTAGGCCAGTTGGGGCTATAGGGAGACTCTGTCTCAAAACAGACAATGAGAGAGAGAGAGAGAGAGAGAGAGAGAGAGAGAGAGAGAGAGACTCTCTAGAAAGTATTTCCAAGGGAAACCTTTGCTAACTTTTGGACTTGGTCTGGTATTTTAAAATATTTTATTTATTATTTTAATTTTCTTATGTACATTAGTATATTGCCTGCATGTATGAAAGTACACGTGTGACACACAATGCCTGTGGTGGTCAGAACAGGGCATTAGATCCCCTGGAACTGGAGTTACAGACAGTTGTTAGCCACCATGTGGATGCTAGGAATGGAACCTGGGTCCTCTGCAAGAGCAGTCAATACTCTTAACTGCTGAGCCATCTCTCCAGCCCTGGCCTGGTATTTATATTATATATAAACTGCTTCATAGCATAGTATTTCTTTCCTTCAATCAGAGTTTATAATTATTTGTTTTATGATTTCTTTCTCTTTCTGAGACAGAGACTTACATATCTCAGGCTAATCTCAAACTTACTATGTACCTGAGGCTGGTTTGAACTACTAATTCTCCTGCTTCCACCTCCAAGAGCTGGGA